CCCTGCTGACAGGAGCACCGCCCCCTGCTGACAGGAGCACCGCCCCCTGCTGACAGGAGCACCGCCCCCTGCTGACAGGAGCACCGCCCCCTGCTGACAGGAGCACCGCCTCCTGCTGACAGGAGCACCGCCTCCTGCTGACAGGAGCACCGCCCCCCTGCTGACAGGAGCACCGCCCCCTGCTGACAGGAGCACCGCCCCCTGCTGACAGGAGCACCGCCCCCTGCTGACAGGAGCCACACCCCCTGCTGACAGAAGCCACACCCCCTGCTGACAGGAGTACCGCCCCCTGCTGACAGAAGCACCGCCCCCTGCTGACAGAAGCACCGCCCCCTGCTGACAGAAGCACCACCCACTGCTGACAGGAGCACAGCCCCCTGCTGACAGAAGCACCTACTCTAAGAACAAAAACACAAGGAGAACCGGGTCAAACTGAACCTGTCCAGTGAGGAAGACCAGGATGTCTCCAGGAGGCTGAGTGACGTGGATCTGCAGCACCGAGACCACACAGGCATCCAGGTAGTCTGCCTCAGGAGCCTAAACAACAACAACACAAACATGTAAACATCGTTAAGAGACTTCACAACAACAACACAAACATGTAAACAACAACAAAATGTGTTGACCTGTCCTCACCTTGGTGTAGAAGATGTCGACGGGGAACCTCCTGCCGGGGATCCTGAACACGGGAGCGTCATCAAAGAAGCAGGAGAACCGCTCCGTGTCCAGCGTGGCGCTCGCCACCAGAACCTTCAGGTCGGGTCGGAACCTGGCGATGTCTTTGATCAGGCCGAACAGGATGTCCGTGTGGAGCGTGCGCTCGTGAGCTTCATCGATGATGACGACGCTGCGGGGCGAACGAGAAGAGAGAGAGAGCATCAGAACCCACTGAAGAGACCCAAGACCGGTTCCAGAGTCCAGTAACCCGGTACCTGTAGCTGGCCAGGTCCGGTTCTGTGAGGAACTCTCGCAGCAGCATGCCATCTGTCATGTACTTCAGCACGGTTCTCTCTGATGTGCAGTCCTCAAAACGAATGCTGTAACCCACCTGAGCCGAAAACAAAACAACAGCCGAAATCTGATGAACAAACTGACATCAGCTAAAGAACCACAGCACCAGCTTAAAGGTGAAAAACACTAACAACACTACAAGTACAAAGATACTGGCTGTAAGTAGCAAAAGGCTAGCTACAAGCTAAACAGTGCTTAAAGTACAAAGATACTTGTTATAAGTAGCAAAAGTCTAGCTAAAAGCTAAACAGTGCTAAAATAGCAAAGAGAAATGCTAGCTAAAGAAAGTAAAAGATTAGCTAAAAAACAAGGGGCAAAATAACTAAAAGTAGCTGAAAGTTAGCTGAGTAAGTAAAAGCTAGGGGTTAAAAAGTACAGAAAAGCAGCTAAAAGCAAAATAAATAAAGGCTAGCTAGATTTGTAAAATGGAAAGTAAAAGCTAAAAGCAGCACAGCTGAAGGTAAAAGTAGCAAACGTAGCTAAAAGTAGCAGAAGGGTTAAGATGAAAATAGCAAAGGGTTGCTAAAAATGATAACTACCAAAGCAGTAGCTAAAGTAGCAGAGCAGTAGCTAAAAGCTAAACGCAGCAGAGCAGTAGCTAAAAGCTAAAGGTAATAGAACAGTAGCTAAAAGGAGAAGAACTACAGCTAAAAGCTAAAAACAGCAGAGCAGTAGCCAAAAGATAAAAGTAACAGAACAGTAGCTAAAAGCAGCAGAACTATGACTAAAAGCCAAAAGCAGCAGAGCAGTAGCTAAAAGCTAAAAACAGCAGAGCAGTAGCTAAAAGCTAAAAGTAGCAGAGCAGTAGCTAAAAGCTAAAAGTAACAGTACAGTAGCTAAAAGCAGCAGAACAATGACTAAAAGCCAAAAGCAGCAGAGCAGTAGCTAAAATCAGAAGAGCAGTAGTTAAAAACAGCAAGGCAGTAGCTAAAAGCTAAAATCAGACGAGCAGTAGTTAAAAACAGCAGGGCAGTAGCTAAAAGCTAAAAGCAGCAGAGCAGTAGCTAAAAACAGCAGGGCAGTAACTAAAAGCTAAAAGCTAAATGTTTTAGAAGAACAGGGACAGTAAAATCAGTCAAAGAAAGAGCCGGCCTGACCTCGTTACCGAGCTTCACGCTCATCTCTTCGGCCACCCTGGCGGACACAGACATGGCGGCCACTCTGCGAGGCTGTGTGCAGCCGATCTTCATCCCTCCTGAGGTGTAGCCCTGAAACAGCAGCAGAGCTTCAGTCAGACTCTCCTCCTTCAAACTGTCTCGAACCTCAGCAGAGCACCGACCTCCTCCAGCAGGTACTGAGGGATCTGGGTGGTCTTTCCTGAGCCGGTCTCGCCCTCGATGACCAGGATCTGGTGCTCCTGGATGGCGGCCAGCAGGGCGTCTCTGTAGGGGAAGATGGGGAGGCTGCGTCGCACCTCCTGTATGGAGCGTTTCTTCACCTCGGCCTGGGACAGAGCCGCCTCCTCCTGCTCCTGAAGGAGACAGAATGAGGAGCTGGAGCAGAGCCGGACCCTGACACCTGAGAAGCCCCTCCCTCACCTGCTGCGAGCGCGTCCCCTTCATGGTGATGGCCGTGCTGACGAAGTCGATCATCTCGTCCTCCTCCATGATCAGCTGGTAGCGCTCCTGCTCCTCCTTCAGGCCCAGCTCGCGCTCCTTCTTGGCCCCGAAGCTGAGCGAGGCCGTCTTCAGCCTCTCCTCCTCCCAGCGGCCCTGCTCCCCCCCCAGCTCCATGGGGGTCTCCTCCAGCTCCAGGTCCTTCTGCGGGACCTCCTGTTCAGAGGGGAGACGGTGGATCAGCGGGTCTTTGGCTGTGTCTCAGTTCAGGGTCTGGGTCCTCTGCATATGTCACTGGCCCGCACCGAGGACTGTCCCAATTCTACGACTCCTCATCATACGGCTGACAAACTGGAAATCTGAGGATGCATCAGTGTCTCCTCACCAGCCGAGGATTTCCCAGGATTCAGAGAAATGAAGACGGTGGTTTTTATTTTTTTAACGTGTCAGCGCAGTTTGGGAATTCACCACGGACCAAAGAATCTGTTTTTAAAAGTAAGTTTAGCAACTTAGCTGATGAAATTTATGCTGCAATAAGATGTTAAATAAAAGAAAATGCAACTCCAAGTTACGAGAAAAAAGTCATAATATTCTAGCCTTTACATGAAAAACCACGATACAGTTATCACTGCATTAAAATGATGAATGTTGAGCAACTTGTCAAGTTGTTTATTTAGAATTGTTTAAAATAAATAGTTAATCTTTTAGCACATCAGCATCAAATTATCAGTAGCAGGACTTGAATATTGTGCAAACGACTATATGATAAACTGAAGCTGTAATTAATGGATGCATTGACAGATTTAGTCGTCATGTAGATAATTTGGATGAAAGCATATTAATCTAACAGCATATTAATCTAACAGCATATTAATCTAACAGCATATTAATCTAACAGCATATTAATCTAACAGCATATTAATCTAACAGTCATCGAGGACCACTTTATAAACACAGACTCATGGCTGTAAACAGCAGCTGAGAGGAAAATAAGGAGTAAATGAGGAATGGAAGATGGACACGTCATGTAAGATTATGACTTTTTATCCCGTAATATTACGACTTTATTCCAAATAAAATTACCACTTTATTCCCGTGATATTACAACTTTATTCTCATATTATTACAACTTTATTCTCATATTATTACAACTTTATTCTCATATTATTACAACTCTATTCTCATATTATTACGACTCTATTCTCATATTACGACTTTATTCTCATATTACGACTTTATTCACATAATATTACGACTATTCTTATAATATTATGACTTTATTCTTATAATATTACAACTTTATTTCATATTAGGACGACTTTATTCTCATAATATTACGACTTTA